CTGGTGTTCAGCTCCAGCATAGGTTTATCAACACGTGAATATAAAATTTATCAATAAAAACTTACAATATGGAGAGAAAAGTTGTTCGCCAAAAAAAAAATGCAAATGAAGTTTGACTAACGGGCTGTTGGAAGTTTTTGGAGGATATAAGATTATGTTATTTTATTTCTTGTATTAAGTTCGCAAATTGATTAATCGGTTCAACATTACTGTGAATACGATTAGAAGAAACGATACTATTATTGAATTTTTGGTACAAATGGAAAGTAAAGAACACTGAAACCGTTGAAACTTTTGTTGAAGTGGTTCCGGAAATGAAATGATTCGCAGATATTTGTTTTGGTTCGAACATTGAAAGTAATGAACACAAGATTTAAATTCATATGAATGAGTCACTATTTCAGGTTTGATCGTCTCTCTCTCTCTTTCTCCAACTCTCACCACATGGCCGGTGGCAACAGAACGTAACAAAGGATGAGCAGCAGCTCAAATAAACAGAAGCGGCAAGGCTGATGACCAATTTGAAAGTAGAGGTGGTTGGGTGGATTCTCATCTGAATCTTGCGGATAAACAGTTACAACCCATAAATAACGAATTAAAGTTATAACGCAATGAATTTCAGTATGATGCTCAAATAAAATCAGAACAATAATAACACTTTCAAGATAATCAAAATAACTAACTTATTTGTTTCCGTTGGGGAATCCTAGACAAGAGTTCTGATGTAACTAACTATAACTATATGAAAGAAATTAGTGAAAACAGTATATGGAGTGTTCTAACGTGAGAGAGTTAAGCGCATGCAAGTTAATTTACAGCCCTATGGCATGTGACATAATCGGTAAACACCGAAGCTCCAAAGAGCCGATAACCCTACGGGTTCCACGCACTGGCGTAAAGCCAGTTAAGCAATATCTTAAACGAGCGAAACAATGAAATTCTAACATGCATTTAAATGGAACAAAATCAAATGAAAACACACTCGCACAAACTCAAATTAAGTTATAGAAAAGCAAGAGTTAACAAAAATAGTAATACTGTTTAAGCAGGAGATTTTCACTTGGGTAAGGTTTAAGTAATAGTAATTAAGATCGAGCTAATTAGTAATGAGCTAATAGTAAACTAATAGTAATTAATGAACGTTGACTATATGTCTCCTAACACGAGACAAACGATAAGCATATAAACAATACTGGCGTAATTAGATAATAAATTTTAAAAATAATATCTACAGACGTTATTCAACACGAACACGAATGAAGTTACGATATTATGACGTTCTCATTTGAAAAAATGTACCGCGATCGAGCTTCATTGCATCATCAGGTTTTCCATCGTGGTTCATATGTGAGTCCAGGTTTCTTATTCACCAGACTGAAAAATGTATTCAAAATTCTGTGAGTTTGATCATGAGCGTCAATCAGAGCGTTACTAATTACTAGTTAGCATGAAGTCTAGTTTTTCATGCTGCGCGTGCAGCATGATTTTACTCATCGATGCCAGAGGTTTTAGTTCGCTAGATCGAAATATTTTTCAGAAGTGTTGTGGGTTTGAACATTAGACTCCATCAATCAAAGTGTGAATAATTGTATATTATTAGCTGTACCAAGGCATCGATTTACTCATGTCCAAACGTCAGTCGGAGCGAGGGAGTCATAATTATCTGTCGAGACAATGATCACAGCCAACAAATGTGGCCAGCCGAGCACATAAAAATTATTCCACCAATTCTACAAACATAAAAATACGCATCTTCATTTTTTAAACCAATTCTGTCATCACGTGAGGAATATCATATTGAACATTTCACATGGAATGAAATTTTCAACATGGAAGAGAAATTTTGATGATTCAATTACTCAAAAACATCAAATGAGGGAGAAGATAAAGTGGTGATTTCTCGTTAAGAAAATAAATAAATAAATCACTGTGTTAATAACTAAATAAGAAAGAAAGTGTTCGTGCATATTTATCATTTTTTGTATGAATAAATGAATGGATTAAAAAGAATTTCATATGAATAAGTTTGTGATGCATGACTAAAAGAGACTAAAAGAGACTAAAAGAGACTAGAAGAGAGAGAATAATTTGGGGTCATATATAGCTTCCAGCACAGCTGTGAATAAGACAGAACAGTTGTTTGTGAGTACACCGGAGTAAGCTTTTAGCGCTCATGTATGGAGCAACACTTGCGTCTGCCTCATTTCGAGTGTGCATTGTGTTCAGTTTGGTTGTCTCGAGTGGTCGCTCGCAGCGGTTAGACGCGCCGCAGTGAAGAATATATTTTATTTCTATTAGTAGCTGAGCTCGCTTCGCTCACCAACGATCTTAGGACAGAGATCTTGTGGCGATATTTTGTTGCGGGGCACCAAAGCAAATGAAGACTTCGAAGGTCTGAACACAGTTGAGATCTTTGAAATCTGATGATTTGCCTGATCTAATTGTTCGAGTGTTTTGATTTCCGGTTTGTCTATGGCAGCCCTTTCATTATATACAAGAAACTGTGTGGTAAAATAACGCATAGTTTAAAAACTACTGTATTTATTACAGTGATCATTATTGTTTGAACGTTATTGAAGTGAAAAATTCTAAGATATATAGCTATCATCATGCAGGAGCTATGCATCAAGGCTATCCTCGCTGACCTCTTCACTTCGGTGGGATCAAATTATGTTCAGTGTTTTAGAGGCCATCTTCCAATACTGTATGGGATGGTAAATACGAAAATTTGTCACCGTTGTAATTGCATGAATTGTTAATGCTTATTTAGTTCTTAAACACATTCAATATTGAATTCTTAAACACATTCAAATATTGAATTTTTAAAAACATTTAAAACTCTTAAACACAGCTATTAAACACATAGGAAAGCTTTATTTCGCAAAATGGGCAATCTTATTACATTTATATGGACAGCAAAATATTAAGTTGGCTCACTTCTACCTTACATAGAACAAAATGTTGCTCACTGAGGAATGAAGGGCAGGGCAACGCGTCTCTCTACCACATCAATTAATGCAATAACTTGAGTGCTATAGCTACCTCAAACTGTTGTTCGATATCATTTTTAGTATATAAAATAACTGGCGTGTCCCACTGTGTCCCATGTCACACCGTTCCCTACTCTGCCCTAGTGGGTTTAACATTTTGTTTGGCCGAGTTGGAATGCTCAAAGCATCAATGCGTGTTTCAAAATGGCGATTAAAAATATCTCATGGGTTCTTTAATTTTTAGAATAGACGAGAAGAATATTTAGGAAATTTGTTTCGCACTGACTGCCTAGAAGTGAAGCAGTCAAGAGGCAAAAAATAGTATATTGCATCAGAGGCAACTATAGTGCATCCACAATACTTTTTATTTTATATTAGGAATTACAGAATGTTAAACGTAGCGCTTGCATAACCTTCGTTAACTTGACGAAGAATAGTTAAAATTTAAAACAGCATAGCATGTAAAACTGTCTCGAGGGAACCAGCATTTCGATTTGCCTGCGCCAGCTAAGAACATTATTTGACGCATCGAAAAAATAAAACAAAAAATTAATAAATAAAATCATTCTTTAATAAAATTTGCCTAAATAAAAACATTTTGTCCAATTATTTCAATATTCTATGGCAATTATGCGTTTACGAACATAATTAAGAAGCCATGTTCGAACTTTTTCCATCAATATCCTCAGTTATTTTCGTACTGCAAATGAATTGAAATTACTTAACATTTTTGGAGTCATCCATCGAGCTGCCGGCGACTTATTCGTTCATCAGCGATATCTGATCAGTTGTTAATTTCTAGTTTACCATTTTCGCGAAGTCCTTATCTTTCACGGGAGTAAATTTCTGTGCCAAAAATTCCGGGTAACTTCGTGCAGGCTCTGTGACAAGTAATAAATCAACGCTAGCATCCCAGTCTCGAACATACACGATGGGAGTTTTTTTTTATATCAGAACAAGTTTTGGGTAGCAGGTATGGTGTATTGTATGTTATGGTAATTTACCGAAATCATTGTCACTCAATGGCTTACCTCGCAAATTCACTAGAAATTTAGAATAAAAATAAAATCCACATAAATTCATATCTTCAAAGAAAACGTTTCCTTCAGCTCCATCGTCAGATCAAAAAATCTAAAATGCTTATAAAATCAGCTGTCAGGGCAGTCGAAATTCACAAAAACAGAAGTGCAACATAATATACAAATTAAGACATGGCAGAAAAATAAGCACGGGCAAAAAACATGTATTCACAATTTCAAGTGGATTGTGGCTACAGGCTGCGTTCAAATTAAGCTTCTGTTTAAAAATGTACATGAATTAAAATACGCGGATCGAAAGCCGTAATTGAGATTATTCATAATAAAGATACAAATTCATGCATCACATGAGAAAAATATTTTATTATAAAAATCCTTTATTGACCAATGGCTAAACATGTGAGTTGAGATTCCAGATAAAAGTAGTTTCCCTATGAAATTAAAACCTTCGTTTGGAGATTTAGTAATTTTTGCCGGTTGCAATTGACAAAGCGCTCTCAGGTTACAGTTCCCCAAGGGAAAGGTTGAAGACATTCCTAATCACCGACATTTTAATAATAGTGAAATTTTTCTCCTAATTTTAGTGCCTCTCCGGTATTACCTTTCCATTGGTGATCAGGTGCAATGAGATATGCTTTGTATTAGAAAATACTCTTCGTACTCTGTCTTAATTTTGATGACGTCCGGGTACGGAGGTTACCCCTCTTGCCTACTGTCCCACAATACTTATGCTGCCAACATGCCACTGAGTAACTGAGTGAGCTCGCTGCTCACCTGCCCTCTGAGTGAGTTAACTGCTCACCTGCCCCCTGAGTGAGCTAACTGCTCACCTGCCCCCTGAGTGAGCTAACTGCTCACCTGCCCCCTGAGTGAGTTAACTGCTCACCTGCCCCCTGAGTGAGTTAACTGCTCACCTGCCCCCTGAGTGAGTTAACTGCTCACTATTAATAAAATGAATTTAATATATCCAGACATGACTGCCTTCGCGTTCAATGGAACCTGCACGGCTTACGAATTCAACAGTAAGCTCTGCTCCTGTCTTGGTGGTGAGAAAGTCATTTACGTGGCAAATTCCAGTATATCCTACGCACCCCCTGCAACTGTGCCTTTTAGTGAGTTCCTGAGATACTTGTATTAATGAGCTGTAACATTAATGTTGATGAGTCTGACATTCACTGCTTATAAATAAGCTGCGAAATTCGTAGCTCGCTTGACCAGTATCACATAAAATCATGTTACACATTACAAATTTGATTGGAATTATAGATGAACGTAGAATTAGGATTTGATTTGTGAAGCAGAGAATTTGCTTCAAAGTCGAAATGTCAGCGATTGAGGTAATCATGAAATAAATAAATATGTTAAAGTTTTAGCTGCATGAGTTAACTATTTCTAATTCCACAATCAAATACCATACATACATTCATCATCTCTACGTTCATCTATATTTCGAAAAAAAAATCTCGTAACTTGCTGTGGATAAATATAGTATATAGTATTCGGTATACTATATAGTATTTGGGGATAGTATTCGCTCCAGGTATTCGGTGCGAGTACTCACCGAATACTCGGAGCTAATACTAGTCCCGTGTATAAGCGTCTTAACTTTCACACCGTGGCTCTTAGCAGGCCTTGCATGCATCTCAACATTGTGTGCGTATGGGTCGTAAAAAAGTTGGGAGCTCAACGTGAAAGTTCATATTTGTGGAATTTCGATGGATATGATTAAGTTAGGGAAAATAAAGGCCGGGAACTCTGAGCCTGCGTGAGTAAAGGTGTGCTAATATCCATCCACATGAGGGAGTGAATGTGAGCGTCTTTACAGTTGTTTATCTTCGTTTATTGTAGGGAGTAAGTGTAGGTGTGTGCATACAACTGTAAGCGTAGTTTATGCGATGCGCTAGACTACCGCTATGGTGATTATTTAAGGGCCTCATACGTTCTAATTCGGATGTTCTTCCTCTATTTGGGCAAATTGTACATAGTATAGGAATCCCCTTAACGCAAAGGGTTACCCTGCTGATCCAGTGATGTAAAACGGTTTAGGACCAAAGCATATGAAAATAACAATCACTTATATAAATAATACTGAAAAACAATTATACCCAGTCTTGGCGTAGTACTAAATCTCGCTAGAAGCGAGGTAGAAATCCACAAGTCACTTCCGCTGTTCGTTAAATACATAGTTTCTAGGCATTTCTAGTTAGCAGAGAGCAGGTGACACCAGCGTTCAGGTTACCTGGATATTGTGCTGGTATCAATTTGTACAACTTTAATTATGGCGTTCATTTCTTATGCTAACCTCAGACCTAATATCCACTTACCTTGGATAGTTAATTGTTATTCACCGTTATTAAAAGAGACACTTCTATTTAACATGTTGTCTACCCTTAACAGTAAATCGCCGTTTACACATGTATGTATATCTCAACAGGCACCGCTCCTCACATCAACACCACTGTCGAAAATATTGAATTAAAGCAGTACCAGCTTGTGAATTTCTTCACGGATGTCTTTTCTCAATTATTGTATCCATATGACGTTGGTAAGTTGTCCAAAATGTCTGACTTATTTATTACGCGCTTCAAAATAAAAGGAACCATTTTACCTTCTTTCAAAACCGCTTTAACAACAATTGATCTTGTATAGTTTTAGTTTCTTTGACCTATTGAAAATTTGAAGTAGCGATTGAACCGAGCACCGCTCACCGCCGCGGCAGGCATGGAGTAAGAATGTCTCCTTGTCCTGTTGACAACTTCCGCTGAGTTTGTTTGAAACGTGACCAATTATTTTGCTCTTACGCCTGTCATTCCCATAATCACGATGAAATGGAGCTGATGCACACTCGTGCCAAGTGGAAATTTTGGCATGGGAACTGTTGAGAATGTGAATATTAATTTAACATAGGCATTATGTAAATGATTTGCTGTTGGGAGCTGCTAGCCTAAATATGGCCAACACAATAGACTTTGATTTGATTTCTTCATCTTCTTCAAGTTGTCTGTTGCCGCCTTATGAGTGGCGCTGATTATCTTGGTGCACGAAATTTTCAAAGTTATTAAAAAGTGGATTATTAGTTTTCCTCATACGATTTTCAAACGCAAGTTAATTCAAACTTTAAAAAACTCGATAAAATTGCACGTTGTTGGTATAGTACATAATAATTTGTTACTAATAATACATTCTTTTTTTCCAGTGATCAGTGTACACCAGTACTATTATGCCTTCCCACGAGAAGATGGCAATTACAATGCTCTTAATTCAGCCTATTTGGACGTGGCTTCCTGCGTCACCGACACCCCATGCGGGATGCCCGTCCTCGTCAACACAACTTGGCCACCTTATTACATACGTGAGCACCAGGGTACATGATTGTTTTGCGTAAAGAAGAGAACCAATAACCAGCATGTATGCTAACAAGTTATAATTACTGCGAAAATTATAATGATATGTAATTCAAAAATCCCATGGAGTTCAGCTAAACTTCGGAAATGTTAGCCTTTTGGAAGAGCTGGTAGGATAAACTTCAAGAAAGTTCATCGCCATCATAAGATCTTAAAGATTTACTTAACAATTGAGAGTATTAATTGCAGAGAAAAAAATCGCACGTTTAATTAGCGGGTTTAACAGTATTTTGCTATTTTGCACTATGTGAATGGGATAGCCGTGGCAAAAGGACAAACTATGTCAGGCGGACGTGGCCAATTAGAAAAGCTCTTTTTCCCAAACTTGAAAATGTTCAAAGAAAAAGTTTAGTCGATTCTAAGCAGATCTTACCTCTTCCACTTCATGTGAAGTTGGCTTGTGAAAGAGTGTGTGAAAACATTAAGCAAAAAGGAAAGTCTTTCAAGTAACTTCGTGAAAAATTTCCTGGTCTATCCAATGCTAAGCTGCGAGAGAGTCTTCGTTTGGCCATTCATAAGAAAAGTTATAAAAGATGAAAACTTCCGTCAGAGAATAGAAATGGAAGAAAAGAACACCTGGAATTCATGTAAAATAGTTGTAATGGGCTTCCTTGGACACAAAAATCCATGTCCTGGTTGCTGAATTGTTACAAAACTACAAAATGTTGAGCTACAATGAGTCCTGAGTCCATTTGCTTCTCTCACATGCGGACTACTTTCCAGAAAATCTTGGAGCTGTAAGTGAGGAACAACGAGAATGATTCCATCAAAATACTTGAGAAATGAAGCGCTGATACCAAGGTTAATGGAATGTCATGATGACAGACGGCTGTTGTATGTTAAAATTTGAAAATTCAAATGAGCACTGCCAAAAAACATCATAAATAGTGTAGATGGTAAAAGAAAACCTTTCTATAAAGACTTATAATAACTTTGCAAGATGGATGTATCACTACTATCCATATTTTAGCTAAATATATTTGTGTGTTTTGCTTTCCCTTCATGCTAAATAATTAAAACTAATCCGAAATCTTTACATTTCGAATATATTTAGTCTTACTTATAGGACAAAAACCAATATCATTTTTGAAATCAGCTTCAACAAAATCAAAATAATTTTTAAAAGTTTTTATTTGCAGACCTGTGTTCTCAGCAAATGTCACCATAACTTATGTAATGAAAATTTTCAATGGAGTCTGAATGATTACTTAATATAACATACATAATAATGTCTTAGTCAACATAATACGTCATGCAAAGTCGTGAAAGATGTATGGCATATCAAGAATTCATTTACGGTAATTGAGCCTCATCATCTATTTTATAAAGTCGAGCATTAATTGCTCAGACTTGCGACGCGTTTAGATAGGATGTGGAGGAATTTCCCCCGTTGTTATTATTATCCAAGCGAGCACGTCTGCAACGTATGTGCTGCGGTGATACGCGGTTTGTGTATCTTAGATTACGTCGGAGTTGAGAATAAACTTGAATTTATCGTGTTTTGGGGAGCCCCGAGGAAATCCCCAACATGCCTAAAAGCCTTAAATGCTTAGGGTTACTGATGAATCGAATGAAAACATCTTATTGCAATATTTTATTCTCATTATCGAAGTAAATAGTCAACGTGTTACAGACTATTCAACGGAATAAACACTCATGAACGTCAACACTTCAATTCTTGGCTTCATCTGCTTCACTGCTTCAACTCAAATTTGAGCTTAAGTCTTGAAATCTAAGTTCCAAAGCTTTACTCCGCTCAGGCTTTCCGCGACAAAAATAATTATTTTACCTTTGCCTTCCGCGCTTCATTTTCGTTGAACTCTAAGCCAAAATGACCATACGAAATTTCTAATAAGAACATGATTCTAAACACATATTACTACCTCATCATCAATGATAAACTATTTCTATCCCTTACCCTGTGCCGTCGACCCCCTACTTCGCTGATAATTTTTCAGTCGCAGGGAGATTGTTATATTAATTTCTATTTGCAGTAAACGAATGCGGCAAAACCATCCAACTCTCGTTTCAAAAAAAGGGAGATACATTTTCGGTGTACTCACATCCCGGGTTTGGATGCAAGGCCTTCCCCGACGGCCCGACCAACAACTGCAACGTCACATTCACGACAACTGGAACAATGTACCTTAGTTATTATGGTTATTTTTCTGGCACTGACGGGTCCTGCGACGGCTACACCCTGGGCGTTGAACCAATTAGGTCCGGCACTTCAGAAAAAGTTGATTTGTGCATCTATCCATGGGTCAGTGAAAGGAAACGCCTCATATTACAGGAATTTAATTATTCGAAGAATCTATTTGCTCAGATTTTCAGCGAAGATTTATGTGCACGTTATTTACCATCACATTTAACCATGATCTTTCTGTGTAATTACTCAACATTGGTCCCAGCTAAACAATCACTCATATAATTTCAAACGAAATTGCTAACATTTTAAAAATATGTTATCTATTCGATCTTCGCATTCGAAAAGTAATTCTCCTTATTCCCTGCCCCTTGCACTCTATTGCAGGGCTGCATTAGTTTATACAACTTGTTTTGTCTAATAACCTGCTCCTTGTCACCTGCTGACTCCTATCTTATTCATCTTGCATTACCGTTCGAAATCAAATCTCATTCAATGTTTAAGAGAATTAAATTGAAAAAAAATGTCTTCACATTGTCAGTATTGAGAAAATAAGTCACTAGAACATTTGAAATTATTCTGAGGGTCAGTGTTAAAATTACCTCCTAATATGGATTTAATTTTCAGACCATGGTTAACGTCAATTCTGTAACTTTCACTCTCCGAGGCACTGCAGCGGCGAAGACGTTCAAAGCGGGTTTCTCCTTTGCTATGAGTAAATGACAGTCTAGTGTCTACTTGTCTACCGCCTAGTCTCATAAGTGATGAGACTGGCAGCCTAATGTCTACGTGTCTACCGCCTAGTCTCATACGTGATGAGACTGGCAGCCTAGTGTCTACGTGTCTACCGCCTAGTCTCATACGTGATGAGACTGGCAGCCTAGTGACTAACTGCTTTTTCTTTGATGGGAGGCATCTAAGCATGTGTGAGAGAATTAGAATTTCCTACTGACGACATTTTGATTCTCAGTTGTGATTAGTTAAGAGAATCGGGGTTTTGCGCTGTCTCTGGTAATGACTGATAATAATCTCGAGCAGCGCTTTGCTATTGGGCTTTGCTTCCGATTTTGACACAGTGCGACATTGGCAAAACCTTGGCATGCGTTTTACAGCGCAAAGCATTTTTTTCACGTTTATCGGTTGAAGGCAGCTTTGGGTTGCATAAAAAGTCTGGTTGAAGGCGATGTTGAGCTGTTCGTAACTCTAGTCTGTAGGCAAGGTCTGGAGGCAGCAATTGTCTGCAACAGACATTCTTTGAGTTACTTTTATAACATATATATGCAGCATGTGGTGCAGCAGGAGCGACTAATACGTGTGCTTAGCACCCTGAAGGCTCCTTAACCCGCAAATCTTTGCGCGTTCTGTGCGTTCCTCAATGCATGTTTTCCTTCTATGAGCTGGAATAAGTAGCATTGCTGTAGATTGGCCAATTCCTCTGGAAGTTTCGTGAATCCCAAAAGTTATAAATTTGCAATGATATTCGGATCGCCTCATCCTGATTGTCAAATTGATCTTAATATTACCGGCACTCCTAGTAAGCTTTCACTGCGCATTGATATTCATAGGAGTGCGGGAAATCTGGAATTTTGTAGCGTTTTTGTGTGAACATCCATGTGCGTGAAATCAAGTTTATAACGGTTTAAAGGATTTTTAGGGCTTTAACGTTCATCGTAGTTTAAGGGGAGCTTGTACGTCAAAAATCGAAAATTTAGACTATTCCGCTTTTTTGGTTCGTTTTAAAGGTCCAAGAACCCACAGCAATGTTTGCCGGAATCCAGTGCAACGCCGTGGATAAAACACGTAACTGCAATGAGCAGAAATTTAGTATTTTGGATCTTGGAAATTCCATCTTAAAAATCTATCTTTTCATACGATTTTTAAGCTACAGCATTGAGAGATACACCATCCGATTTGTAAAGACCTGGTCTGGCGATCAACCGGTAAATTTTTCTGATTTCTTTTTAGCTTGATTATATTTTGAAACAATAAGGTGGGGGGCAAAATTGAACAACTCCGCAAAATCATAAAAAATTTGAAATATTCTTAGGATAATCGCTAAATATGGTCTTTACGAATCGTGAATATTTCTATAAATTTCCCATTTTGTTTCATTTTTTTCTGGAATTTTTCTGATAGTCATTTCCTTCTTTTTTACTTTCATGATCCCTTTAAAATAAGCTGTTAGTAGTAATACCAAGCACGAGTGCTGTTACTTTAGCTGTGTGAAGTGGTGATGCCACGCACGAGTGCTGTTACTTTAGCTGTGTGAAGTGGTGATGCCACGCACCAGTGCTGTTACTTTAGCTGTGTGAAGTGGTGATGCCACGCACGAGTGCTGTTACTTTAGCTGTTGTCCTTCCTTCAGACGTACCGACGCCAACGTGTGTCCTTCCTCAGACGTACCGACGCTAACGTGTGTCCTTCCTCAGACGTACCGACGCCTTCCGATCACGGCGAACGATTTGGCCTTCGCAACGACTGCGTCCAAGAACATCACAGCTTCGGATGTGCTGCAGTGCGCGAGAATGTCTGCTTTGGCAAGTTAGAATCCTACTTTTACTTCCATCACGGTGGAAGCATTTTCATTTTATCGGACAATAACACGCTACATCCGATGAACACTTCTGATTAACGTTTGCTTTGTTGTTGCGATTTCACTACTTGGATAATATTAAATGTTATCGCAAACGATACCGAATGATAAATGTTTAGTTCTATTGAACAAAATATTGGTAGCAGCATTCAGAATGAACTTATCTAGGATACGGGCAAGCTTGACCAGGCCGAAGGCGGCGGCCAACGGTATCACCGATACGACGACGCGGTTTCGAGTTTTGACTTCCGGGCTTATTTAGGCTTGATTCTCACCTTCCTGCCTGACAGGTGCCAGGCATATGCCAGTCTTGGTCCGTACCTAGCCAGGTGCACTTGCATGTTCAGTCCGGTCACGGGTCGTCCTCACTTCAGTCCCTCTCATAGTCCTTACTTCAGTCCCTTTCGTAGTCTTCACTTCAGTCCCTTTCATAGTCCTTACTTCAGTCCTGTGGCGTCGTTCATACGCCCGTCTCTCTGTCTCTGTTCATACAAAGAATAAGTAGCCAACGCAATCTGATGTTGAACCTGTTAGGCCATACGTTATTCATCCTTGTGACTTGGTACTTACTACGCGGTACTCCTATACGAACTATGTAAGTCAAAGTAACCTATAGTAACTAAATATATTTCAACTCCATAATTGTGTTTATTGTAAAAGCGTGTTAACGTTGTTTCTGGTTCTTGTGTATAAATGTTTTGTATTAGTGTTTCATAGGTAATTTCCATAGTTGTGCTGTGTTAGTGTCTCATAGGTAATTTGTTTTCAGCTTACACGTTTACGAGGAAAGTGGAGACCCCCGTCCATCTTCTTTACTCCATACGAGATAACTGCCCGAAAGAGCGTACGACATGAACGGCTCGCTCGGAACAAGTCCCTTTCGTAGTCCTCACTTCAGTCCCTTTCATAGTCCTTACTTCAGTCCCTTTCGTAGTCCTCACTTCAGTCCTTTTCGTAGTCCTCACTTCAGTCCCTTTCGTAGTGCTTACTTCAGCCCCTTTCGTAGTCCTTACTTCAGCCCCTTTCGTAGTCCTTACTTCAGTCCCTTCCGTAGTTCTAACTTCAGTCCCTTTCATAGTCCTTACTTCAGTCCCTTTCATAGTCCGTACTTCAGTCCCTTTCGTAGTCCTTACTTCAGTCCCTTTCGTAGTCCTTACTTCAGTCCCTTTCGTAGTCCTTACTTCGGCCCATTTCGTAGTCCTTACTTAATTCAGCCCCTTTCGTAGTCCATACTTCAGTCCCTTTCGTAGTCCATACTTCAGTCCCTTTCATAGTCCTTACTTCAGTCCCTTTCATAGTCCTTACTTCAGTCCCTTTCATAGTCCTTACTTCAGTCCCTTTCATAGTCCTTACTTCAGTCCCTTTCATAGTCCTCACTTCAGCCCCTTTCATAGTCCTCACTTCAGTCCCTTTCATAGTCCTCACTTCAGCCCCTTTCATAGTCCTCACTTCAGTCCCTTTCGTATTATTTTCATCGTTTCAGTTCTTTTCTTACCATGCCAGTCACATCCCGGTCAAAATATCTTTTGCCTTGATCGCTCCTGGACCGTGATTGGCATGACAAGTGCTTGGCACGGCTGGCGTGCATGCTTCCTTAAATGTATTAAAGAATATTGGACTGGACCGAGACTGGCGAGGGCCCGGCAGTATGGTGTGAATCAAGCCTAATTGGGAAACTTTTTGTAAACGCTCGTGATTATCAGTCGACTTTGATGAAACTAAATGTTATTTATGAATTATACGATCAGCTAGGGCCTGATTGCCCCAAATTTAGGGCCCTGTCATAATTTAATCAGCTTTATATCTTAAAAAATTTCCTATATTATTTGTCAATGTATCTTAATGTGTAAATAAACTTTATATCTTTATGTTAGAACTGTGTCAAGACCTCTCAATTGTTTAGCAAATTTATTATTATGTTTTTATAAATGATCGTGTCAAAGTTGTCTTCAATTGGGGAAACTTTATGCCATACTTCCAAACAATACGAAATCTATGTTGAGTATTGGTTGCGTTAAAGTGAGGCATAATAAAATTAAGATCTGATTTCTATTTTCCCCTGTGACTAGCTAATTATTTTATTAATTGAATATTCAGCTTACAAAGTAATCCATCAACAAGCATAAGTTCACTTGTATACTAAGCAATTAAGAGTTTAGTGATTGTACAATCTTTTTTCAGTTTTAAGGCTCCTGCGGAAAAAAATTTGCTCGAAATATATTAATCACAATAATATTAACCACATTTACTTCGAATCACATTAAAATGAATTAATATTTAATTAATAAAATGAATTTAATATATCCAGACATGACTGCCTTCGCGTTCAATGGAACCTGCACGGCTTACGAATTCAACAGTAAGCTCTGCTCCTGTCTTGGTGGTGAGAAAGTCATTTACGTGGCAAATTCCAGTATATCCTACGCACCCCCTGCAACTGTGCCTTTTAGTGAGTTCCTGAGATACTTGTATTAATGAGCTGTAACATTAATGTTGATGAGTCTGACATTCACTGCTTATAAATAAGCTGCGAAATTCGTAGCTCGCTTGACCAGTATCACATAAAATCATGTTACACATTACAAATTTGATTGGAATTATAGATGAACGTAGAATTAGGATTTGATTTGTGAAGCAGAGAATTTGCTTCAAAGTCGAAATGTCAGCGATTGAGGTAATCATGAAATAAATAAATATGTTAAAGTTTTAGCTGCATGAGTTAACTATTTCTAATTCCACAATCAAATACCATACATACATTCATCATCTCTACGTTCATCTATATTTCGAAAAAAAAATCTCGTAACTTGCTGTGGATAAATATAGTATATAGTATTCGGTATACTATATAGTATTTGGGGATAGTATTCGCTCCAGGTATTCGGTGCGAGTACTCACCGAATACTCGGAGCTAATACTAGTCCCGTGTATAAGCGTCTTAACTTTCACACCGTGGCTCTTAGCAGGCCTTGCATGCATCTCAACATTGTGTGCGTATGGGTCGTAAAAAAGTTGGGAGCTCAACGTGAAAGTTCATATTTGTGGAATTTCGACGGATATGATTAAGTTTAGGGAAAATAAAGGCCGGGAACTCTGAGCCTGCGTGAGTAAAGGTGTGCTAATATCCATCCACATGAGGGAGTGAATGTGAGCGTCTTTACAGTTGTTTATCTTCGTTTATTGTAGGGAGTAAGTGTAGGTGTGTGCATACAACTGTAAGCGTAGTTTATGCGATGCGCTAGACTACCGCTATGGTGATTATTTTAGGGCCTCATACGTTCTAATTCGGATGTTTTTCCTCTATTTGGGCAAATTGTACATAGTATAGGAATCCCCTTAACGCAAAGGGTTACCCTGCTGATCCAGTGATGTAAAACGGTTTAGGACCAAAGCATATGAAAATAACAATCACTTATATAAATAATACTGAAAAACAATTATACCCAGTCTTGGCGTAGTACTAAATCTCGCTAGAAGCGAGGTAGAAATCCACAAGTCACTTCCGCTGTTCGTTAAATACATAGTTTCTAGGCATTTCTAGTTAGCAGAGAGCAGGTGACACCAGCGTTCAGGTTACCTGGATATTGTGCTGGTATCAATTTGTACAACTTTAATT